ATTTTATTTGCCGACCTTGTTTTAAAATCGTGCCTTAGTCGTAAAGCGAATATGCACAACTGTTCATATCGGTTTAAGTTTTCATATTTTTGTATTGAATACTTTCTTCTTTCAGTTCCTTGTCATCTACAAAGTGTTCAATAGACAATTGGAAATATTGTATTTAATTTAAGTAGACAAAGAGTTGGATAATGGATGATGGGGAATGAGGTGCAATAATACTTGTGTATGTTTGGAAATTGGAATCACCTGAAATATTTAAAATTATATAAGGACTTATTTTGGAAAGAATAGAGTTCAGTTAGCTTATCTGGGAAAATTTAAGCTGGAAAAACAATTGAAGGATTCTCTTCAATCTACTCCCTTAAGAAGTTCTACAGTAACGAAATGTCAATATTCTTTTGTATGACCTTTTATTGTATATCTGTAAGTCCCTGAACTTAATTTTCCCATTTAAACATCTGAACTCGTACCCTTCATAAAAAACTCTTTGATCAGGACAAAAACTGCCTGTTAATGACATGTCAGTTCATGTTCATTACACATTGTAGGTGGTTGAATGTTTGCTCGGTGTGTTCCCTTGAAATAAACATTTTTTTAAGGATTACCACTAAATATATTGCAAAATTTCTCCATCATCCAATTTTTATCACATATTTTGTTCCTTTCTCTTGTCAGTTTCTATGTTCAAATTAGTTTAAATCGTAAGTGTTACGCTCAAATCACTCGTGTTTGAGTATTTAATCGACAACAAGTTCCTGACTTAACTTGTTTGTTTAGTTGTAAATTGTTTCTTGTGCTGTTTTTGTTGTAAGGCAGCTGCCGTGAATGCCTAGGGTAGGTGGCTGGTTGAGAATTAACAATGTAATTTTGTTACAGTTGACAGACGTACTTATGTCAAAAACATTGTGTAAGTTTAAAATTTGAATGCATGTAATACAGCTACATTTTTTTTTTTCATTCGGAGTCTAAGGAATTTATGTTGATTATTGAGTTATAACAATCATTGCATGTTATATTATAGGCTCAACAAGCCAGCATGTAAACTGTTTTAGCACCAATCTTGCCATTATATCATACTAGCTGCTGTACTCGTGCTTCGCAACGGGAAGATGTACTATATCGCCTAATCCAAACATTTGTTAAGTAGTTCAAATTTATAAACAAAGAGCCACTAAATCTAAACAAAAAAGTATGACCTACATTGTAACTGTCCTACTGTTTACATTTAAATATATAACATAATTTTTCATAATCAATGACGTAAATAAACCTACCACATAGTTGCGTAAAATATTTTAATCAATTTGTTTGGATCGGCGGTCCGAACTAATAAGCTTTTACGGTTTACATTAAAATGTCAATACATTAAAATGTCAACGCAACGGTAAACAAATATTGTGAATTTTTTCATGCTCCCATGGAGACAAATTTTGAAACCCTCACCTCAAAACTATGTTTGGGCTGTATGGGTTTAGTATTTTAGCTGTGGCAGCCGCACAGACAAACAGACAGACACCACCTCAATTTTATAATAATACTAGCTGGCTCGACAGACGTCGTCCTTTCCTAATGTGGTTTTATGTCAAATGCTCGTTCATTTCAAGATGAGCTCGTTCGCATAGCTCCTTTAGGTTGAACTCGTTTGCTGCGCTCACTTGCCTTCAGGTTAGCTCGTTCGCTACGCTAACTCTCCTCCAGGTTGAAGTTCGTTCGCTAGGCTCACTCACCTTTTGGTTGCAAATTAGCTGTTTAACTTTTTAATGCTATTGAACATCACAGAATCATACTGTTTAGTTGAACCAGCTGTTAAGATTCTTTAATTCCATTTAAATATGAGTACTCATAAGCTTAACATGGGACACTCCAGAGCCACTGGGGCGGAGCCCTTTTGACGGATCTGCACCAAACTTCACACAAACCATCCTTTAATAATGCCTGAAAGTTTCATTACAATCTGTCGAGCGGTTTCGGAGTCCATAAAGGACAAAACAAACTAACCAAAAAACAAACATACATTGGATTTTATATATATAGATAGATTTAAATAAATAAACCATGAGAAACTCGCCTCTTGATTCCAAAAACATTAATAGAAACTAGACAGAATAGATTTTAATAAGTTAAGCCTTAAAATATTACGTCAAAATATTCCATTCAATTTGCTTGCAAGATGAAGGGGCTTAAGTACATAGGCTATTTACGCCACTTTGTCTTGCAAGCCTCGAATTCTCTAAGACAATCACACGCTCTAAGGTGGGTATTTTTATTTTAAGCTGATAATGATTGCACAATAACTGTAGAATAGAGTAAGATGATATGTAGGTTTGTTACTGACCTATAAATTTGCTATCTCTTTATTCGGAACCATTTATATAAAGCCCAATGACCAAGGACAGTAGGGTCCATTTTCAAACCATCAAAAAGCTACTGACTTTTCTCAAGAACAAACCATCAAGCTTCTGCTTGCTAGGGGAGCACTGTAACGAATCAGAAACATTTCTATAACTAGCGTCTTGTTGAACTTTATTATTTAAAATACATGCATTAAACATTTTTTTTAGCATGTATGGAGATTTCAGTCTGCTATGTAAACATTACCAACCTTACCCTAGATCATTTGATTTTAATTTGATTGTGCCTGCCTGAAAGAGAGTTGAAAACCTAGAAATTTATTTTTTATTTACAAACATAACAAATTTCGATTAAGGTTTATTCATATCAATCAATGCAATATTAGTTTTACATTTTGTTGAATGTCGCCGTCCCATAACCAGCCATCCAACCCCTGCCAATTAAGTATATTACCTCAAATAGTTAAGGTACAAGTGCTAAAGTTTAACTTTGTATATATTTTTTACAATCGGATGCTTGCTACATTTTAATATTGTTTTTTAATTTTAAGTATTTATGAAAGTTAAATACAAATCGAACGAGAAGTGTACGGGCGGTTAGTTAATGTATTTTAATTTTAAATGTTTAGTATATGTATTTTTTTAGTAATTTATAAAATTTGTAATTGTGACATAGTAGGTCTATATATATTTGTCCTAGGTTATTTCTAAGAAAAACTGTGTTTTCAGTTTGTATAGCACAAAACTGTAATCAAAATTCTGTGAACTGTTTGACCAATTAAGACGTTCAAGATCAAAAGTCGAACTAGAGAAATTGAACTTTTTAAATATTTTTTATTTTTTAACAATGTCAAACCTCAATTTGACCCTTAAGAATATTTGTAAGTAATTTATTTTATTAACAACATTAACTGATGTCAATAAAACGTTTTTAGGTATCGAGTTGTTTTTTCATTCATACCTTTGCACAGCTATAGCTAGTAAGTAACTTAAACTATAGATTAATTTCCATAAAGTTGACATGCCATTCTTTTCAGCGAATTTCCCTATAGGGAAGTAGCTATTACCTTAGGTGGCACAGTAAGACCTAGGTCCGGTGCCGATTTACTTTTTCATTTTGATGTCCCCAGAGGTTAAAAGCACCATTCGTTAAAATTTATATATAGAGAGTTATATATATGTCCGTGAACATGATAACTTGAGTAATTTTTGTCCGATTTTGATGAAATTTGCTTTCAAGGTGTAAGACGGGATAAACTTAAATAAATTTGTGAACCAGCATCATCGGACCATGGGAATGGGGTTTTGTGGGGGGTTCTTTCGGGAAAAAATTGGTTTTTCTAATTTTTGACCCTCAAAACACCAAATTTCCCAATTTATATCTAGACCTTATTAAATAAAAAGCTTAAAAAAAAGATGATTTAGTATAACAAAGTGTTTTTGTACAGTTATTGGCAACGGATAAAAATCAAAGAACTGTAAATTTAAAATTCCCATGTTATTCTTATGGAGCATATTGAAAATGATGTAGTTTGCTTGTTTATGGATATATTTTGATCAAACTTGGCAAAATTATTTATTTTATACTTAGCTATTAATATTTTACCAAAACCCACTTTATTAGTTTCAGCTTCATTATAGCAGCAAAACTAGGTACATAAGTTAAACCTAATGTTATTTAAATAGAATTAGTTAAAAATCATTCAGAGAAATGGAAATTTGTTTAGTCGGCAGGTTTGCTGCGGCGGGGGTATTTTATGTTTGTTTATTTACAACATTCTACATGTATTTATTTCCATATCATAGTATAAAATACCACAGCTGCAGCAAACCTGCAGACAGCTAATTTCATCTTGTCTGATTGGATTTTTACTAAGATACTTCCAAACAAGAAAGAACAAAGTGGCAGCAAGAATTGTTACCAACTTATTTTCGAGCGTACACACACATATTATGTGTCTAATAAAAGCACGGTTTGAACACTGAAAATGAGTGCGGCAAAAGTAAGTAAATGCAGCAATTAGCTACTTTGCGTGCTATAATCAGTATAAGAATGCCCGCTTTATCAGGTAACTGTAGGAAAAAGAACTTGGTAGCACTCTCTATGAAAGGCTGATCCAACGGTGGATTGTTTAGTAAAATAAAATCCCCAGAACACAGGTTATGTATATTATCCAAAGTCAATGGTTATTCTATTAAGACAATCTAGTGTTAACCACAGAGATGCAAGTTACAGAGGAAACAGTCAATGGTTCACTCTAGTGGTGTCTAGCACTAGTAGCTGGTATCTAGGGCAAAGTCCTACACCACCCCTACCTCCGCGGTGGAAGAAGACCCTGTGGCCTGTGCAATAGGAATTTCCACACAATGCTCATACCTTGGGCTCTTCCTTGCTCGTCACAAGTATATTTCCCGCATAACATACTAGAGCTGAAAGCGCACCGTGTTCACAATAAGCAAGTTTTCTTTGTACCTTCTTGGTACCTTACTTCTCTGTTGGTTAACAAATTCTACCTCTTTGAGATCTAAAAAATGTCTTAATAATTTATGTATGTTCTTAATCATTAAGTAAACCAACATTTAACTAAAGTCATGTTGAAATTATAAAACACTGTAAATATAAATATAGTTTATTAAGTAGCAAAAAGTGTTAATTACAATTGACAATTTTCTATGAAGCTACAAATTCCAAATTCATAGATTACAAAATAAGGCTAAAAATACAACAAATTTTGCTAAATTCTCTAAAGCATATTATTTTATTAGTAGAAAAGGAATAGAAAATGTTTTTCACAACATCCAAACGTTAACATAACATGTCTTATAAAAACTTGAACAGTTTTAACCTAAGAAATAAAAATTGTGCTTTGTTGTGCAAGTAAAACACAGTTTTAAAGCCATTTGCATTTAAATTCATGAAAATATTGCTTGTGGAACAAATATTACATCAAAAGAATAAATTTGTTTTGTAACACTAGGTGTTCCTAAAAATCTAAAATATTGAATGCGTCTGCATATAAAATCTGAATGTACAGTTACAAAAGCAAGGCAATTGGAACAAGGCACAAATGTAATTAGAAAAGGCATTTAGAAAAGTAGATTTATTGATATCCACAAATTTGATCATTTTGAAACTATTTTGGTAGTAAAAGGATTTCCAGTATTGGTGGAAAAAATGTGCTTAATGTTGGCATGGCTAATATGCAACAAATTTATGAACCAATCATACAATGTGGTAACCTCCATTTTTCTCGAGAACTGTTCAATTAAATTGTAATACCAGTTTAAAACATGGAAGCTACAAAATACTTAATTGAATAAAATAAAGAAGTTTGAATAAAAAAATGTGAAACGTTGGTTCAAGCTTTACTTGGTGCATAACATTTAAAATGGGTTTAAAACACAATTAACTAAATAACCAATATTTTGAGATCAATTACACTTTTTACAAACCAAAGTAAACTGTACAAACATCCTTATAGTTATAGTAGTTTTCATAAACACTGAAAACAAAATACTGTAACTTATTCCTCTACTAAAAATAAAGTTCTTAAGCTAATTCATTGAACACATCATAATCACAATTATTGTACCAGTACGCAATTCGTAGTACTTAAGAGAATAAAATTATTTGAACTTACAAATTCAGTTTGTAGAAAATACTTATAATTTGTTTGTATTGAGGCAATTAAACTCATAAACACTAAAGTCAAGTTAGAAGGATAAAATCAAATAAAAATATATTTTACTGTTTTCAGGGAAAACCATTTAATAAAACCATATTGATAAAAAAAATTAAAATAAACCTGAGTATAAATGAAAAAAAGAAAAAAAAATTCTAAATCAAATCTACAGTACCGTAATAACAAAACAAAAAACACTTTACAATTTAAAACAGTAATAAAAATAAATTAACTGCCTAAAAATGAACTTCGTCATTAAATCATCACCTCAGCTTTATTATACCTAGGTTGTAATATGACAAGTTGTTATTATTGTAATAAGACAAGTTGATATTGTTGTAATATGACAAGTTGTTATTGTTGTAATATGACAAGTTGTTATTGTTGTAAAATGACAAGTTGTTATTGTTGTAATAAGACAAGTTGATATTGTTGTAATATGACAAGTTGTTATTGTTGTAATATGACAAGTTGTTATTGTTGTAATATGACAAGTTGTTATTGGTGTAATATGACAAGTTGTTATTGTTGTAATATGAAAAGTTGTTATTGTTGAGTTGTTAGGGATAAAATATTTCAAAGGTGTATCTCATTTAAAAATATTGTCTGCTTTTTTTAAAAACAGTAAGTTTTATTTATTTGGATTATGTAATTTAGTTTGAGATCTAATTTATTAAAACCAGAAAATGCAATATTTTTCAGGCAACTTTTATTTTTGTTTATTTGGAAACTTTTATTTCAGTTGGTTGGCATTAAAATGATTTAAGGATCTTTTTGGGTCGGGAACATTGGAATCGCGACAAACGTTCACAGATATTACTGCTATCACATGATTCCAATATTGCTGGGTTTAAACAGTTTTGAAATAGGTTGGAAATACAATTAAAACATTTTACCTACGACCGTTTTCTAAACTAGCCGTTTCAGTTCAGTTCTTAGAATTAAAAAGATTCATTTAACAGATTTGTTTACTTAGATAACAGCATGGTTTTACTTAACGGACCAACTAGGTTCAAGGATTGAGAGAAAAGAAGTCAAATTGTTATGCTTTGAACATCAACTAATCAGTTGTTAAGACCGATTTAATTGTTAATGAGTGGTGCAATGAATGATTCATTGCATCACTGTCAGTGGCTCTGAGAGGTTACAAAAACATAACCTCTCTTAGAAGTTATTAGTAGTGATTGATTGATAGTAATTAAAAAAACTATCGTAGGTAAAGTGGTGTACTCAACTCGGGTAAATAGTCTTAAAGACACTCGTAGAAGTTTTAAGGCACTTGCCTTAAATTTCTACTCATGTCGTTAACACTATCTCTATGCGATTGTTGCGTACACTACTATTAAATATGGATCAATTTTAAGAAAATTATTTTTTATTTTTTTTATCAATTTCCACAGTAGATTCTGTATTGTACTTAATTGTAATCAGGATAAAAACTGAAGATCTGTCGATCTGTGACTCTATTTTTTAGAATTCACATTGGAGATTTGAAATTCCCGGATTCGACCATCATTAGAGAAACCACCTAGAATATTATTTTCATATGATCTTCACCGGTATTATGAGAACCGCTTAAAAAGTTATTTATTGCATGATCTTCACAGGGTAGCCTAAGTTAAGATTCACCTAGAACTCCAGTTGAACTACTGCAGGTTCAGTTATCTGGGCAAGTCATAGGCAAACTCAGAATTCCAATCTCTCAAGAAGACGTCCTCAAGTTGTTTCCGCAACTGTGTGTCTCCTTCGATGACAACCCCCACCCCTCCAGTGGACACAAAATAATCCCCAGACCAGTTGGACGTTCCTGTGGACAGTTAATTGTGAAATGAGCAAAATAAAATTGACAAATCAATGATAGGCCACAAAACGCTAGAGGATTGTTGCATGCTTACTTAATGAGAACAACTTTATCCTGACACTAGAAACACAAAAATACACAATAAACGTTAACTTGAAATAATAAATTGTGTCAATGACAGTGAAACATTTTTTTGTAAAGTGTAAAGTTTTTTTTCTTATCATAGCCTACCACAATGGACTCATTTTTGTAAAGGTAAGCCTACCCCAGCAGCAGTAATCGTTACAATGTATACCCTTATGCTTTTTGTGATACACCCATTAAACTCAAAAGGTTATTGTTTGTTCTATGTTGAACATTGTATCTAAATAAAAATCTAATTTGTTAAAAATATGTTATTGTTAAAATATGTGTTGTGGTATAAAGTAAGAAGACATGTGATGAATTGTTGAGACAAAAGGTCACACTATCCCAATAAATCTTTGTAAAGGTTACACTGAAAATGAACTTTGCTAGTAAACGTTTTCCTCGTAAATTGTATTCTTAACATTTTGTTTCCTCCCAAGAAACTACCTACTTAATAAAATACTGTAATGCTTTAAAAAACTATTTATTCTTTCTAACATACTTTTTCATACACCATAACATAAAAACCTGATTTCTTTACACTTTTCAGTTCAGAAATTAACAAAAATTTTTTCACCTAGGACTTATTTGGATTAGAACAATTTTGGAGTAGCCGGGTTTAGATAAGGGAGTCTTAACTAACTGTTCTAATTTTTTTAAAACCTTTTATTGAAATTTTGGTTTCATTTTTTTATCCATAGTTAACTCTGAATATGAAGAAATACTTTACTTTTCTCTTCAACATACTCACCTATATAGGCTGTGGTGTCTGTAACCATGTACTTGTTATGGTTGACTCGAGCAAACGGGATCTTGCTTTGCTCTGCTGTTTCCGGAACCACAAACAGTTTCTAGAACGATTCCAACCATATAGTTGTATTGTAAAATTTACACATGACTCATGACAAACATAATCTTTGTGCAACAATATTTAGCCTGTCCTAATTTGTAAACATTTATTACCAATATGAATTAGCTTACATAGCCTATTGTTTTGCTATGGCAACAAAGAGCTGTTATCAAAGTATCGAACTATTGGGTATGTTGCTCTTGTATTAGTGTGGAGCACTTAATATTACTATTAAATAAACAACATCCTATGCTCTTAAATAATATTACTAAATACTAATGCATCTTGGGACACAATTTAACCATTTTCAATCACTGAAGGATACTGATAGTGTCAAACAAATGAATAAATATAACTGTTTGCAAAGGTTAATAGCAAAGCAACTAATACTTCCACAACAACGCCTAGTATTTTTACATTTCAGTAAGTCTAAATAGGGGTATTTCTAATTGTGAAATGAAGAAAAATTGACAGCTTATGTCCTTACCTTACAGCGTGTTGTATTTTTTTCTAAGGACAAAAAAAAACACTTTAACCCAGAATAATACATTGAAAACAGCTGCTTATACTGCATTATGACAAAAGTGCAATTTTGTTTCAATCAAGTTACTACTATCTATTATATTATTAAAGTGATACAATCAAATTTTGTGTAAACGGTTAAGGCCATTTACCAAATAAAAATATAGGCATATGGCACATCAAAATGAAGCTTAAGAGTATGTAGATTTGCCGAAAAGTATTGATATGGATGAATTTCCCAAGGGCTCTGCCCCACAGGCTGATTTCCTAAGGGCTAAGCCTGGTATGCTTCTAAAGTTTACATGATTTAATTTAATTTAGTTAATGAAACAGCTGGTCAGTACAATGAACTGGTGTTTGTTTATTTACTCGAAAAAGATGTTTGTGGTGCTTTATGTAGATTGAGGAGGGTTATGTTTGGTTTTAAAGAAAGTTTGTATACGTTTTGTAAAGTATTGCTGAAAGTTTCATTTTGTAATTTATATAGTAAGCTACGTATAAAGAGGCTTGACTAAAATTGAAGAATTATGGTAAAACATGTCATTCATGAAGCATCAATATGAAGCAATTATTGCTATTGCTACACTAAGGTATGTTGTCATATTCTTTTGGATCCAATAATGTTAAAAGTAGGGGTTTGAAAGTACGTAGGTTTACACATTTAAATCAGTTTATATTTTGATACTAAATCATAGAGTTGCTGTATTTTGAAACACACATCAGAACCACTTTAATAGCTCTCTGAGTTACATTTTCTTCCCGTTGCAACGCACGGGTATAGCAGCTTGTTAGCTATAATAGCGAGTGATTAGCAAGACTTTTCACTAAATTTAGGGGGGAAGTTCCCCCACTACATTTTGCTCAACGTATATGTTGTTACAGTTGATTGACGTTTTGGTAAACGTCAGCAGTTGAGCTATTTTAAAGGTAGGATAAAGTGGAGGGTACCGTATTGATTTCTTCCCATAAAGCCGCCTACATTTTGTGAACGGAGTATAAAAGTCAGTCAACTTTAATCTTCCACTTACCACTGAGATTTTAGCTCCGTAAGCTCCCGTAAGATCACTCAAGGACGCTAGGAACAGTTTCATTTCTTTCCGTGAGTGCTTCCACCAGCTAATCAGAAGACGCACTTCAACCGATTGGTCGATCGCCACATCTCGTAAAGCATTGTCAATTACTCCCCAGTACCTACATGAACATGTGCTACTGTAAACTTTGGCATCAAAGAATACAGTTGACAGATTATGGAAGTACAGTAGAAATCTGCTAATTGTTTGAGACTGACAGGGTGCTGGATTACCAAAAATGCTGTACTGTTTTCAAACTGAAATAAACATGATGATATAAGCTCTGAGCCTTATCTTTAGTCGGCTTGGTGGTAAATGTCCTGCGTCCGATCAGGTTACTCAAGAGCTGATGAAGTACTTGATAACACACAGTAAATTACAAAAGTGTGTTGTGCAGAACTGGGTATATTATGAACTTTCTTATATCATTGTTGACCAGCACAGTTACTGTTATTTCTGTTTAAAAGTGTTCTTGGACTAAAGGAGACAGGAAATATGTACTCAATGAGGTACAACGTGGCAGCTTGTTAAGTATTAAATTCCCCCACCGCAGCAAACCTAAGCGAATTTACATTTGCCTGATTGGATTTTCAATAAAATCTATATATATAATACGCTAAGCCGATTTTTGTGAACAGAACTCCTCCCTAATTTTTGGACCGATTTTGATGATTAAAGTGTCAAAATAATTGCCCTGATCCGTAGTTTTGCAAAGTCTTTTTCGTTTTTTTATATCTTTATTAGTTTGGACAGGATCATCCATCAAAGTTTGGTTTTCTTCCATAAGATTAACATGGGGGGGTCTAAATATTTAATTGGTAACTTTGTCTTCACTAATTTGCGAGAACGGCTAGGCGTAGAAAGTTGGTAGAGGTATCCAAAGAAAGGTCTTGGTCTGTAGATGAGTTATCAAAAGAAAAACTGATTAAATTAGCTTAGGGCTCTGCCCCAGAAGCCTTTAAAGATCCCTCCACAGATTTGTTTACATTTTGGTCATGTGGATAAAACTTTTTAATAAAACAGCTGTTAATTTTAAAATTGTATTTAAAACAACACACATTTATTGGGAGTTACTGAGTTGTCCAAAAGAAGTATTTGCAATGTTATTTTCTGATTTTAAAATCGAGTTTCTTCTGTATCATGCCATGTGTTGAAATATAACATTCCATTACGAAATCAGTGGAAAATCCTTTTTTCACAATAGACAATGACTTTTTATTGAACTATCTTATATCTAATTCACGGGTTGGTGTCTGACTTTTTCACACCTTTTCCCTATAGTTTGTCATAATATTCTAAACATATCATCATAGGTTCATGAGATTATTGTCATACATGTTTTCAATCATTGGAAAAATCTTCGATGGTGTAATACAATACAAAATAATACAAGCGCAGAAGAGCAAGGTGCCCATTTGAGCCGTGTCCATATTTTGTTAAATTAATAGTGGTTTACAGCAACTGGATAAAACATTTTACAATATTTATGTAGAAATATGTGCATGATTTAGAAAGTCATTAAGCTGGAAAACTGCAATATACTGCAGACTTTTCAGAGAGGCTACTTAGATGCATTCAGCTTAGTAAAAACATAATAATGTATAGATATGTATATAAATAAGAACTTGAACTCTTAGAGAGCCTTTGAATGTTATTAGACTAACGAGAAGAATTGTGCATGTTTACTAGCGCTACTCGGCAACAAAAACTATTTAATTTATCTCTAAACTATATATTCTTAAAGTGCACTGAGCAGCAGCCTAAAAATCTATGTAACTTACCCATATAATATAGTTACAAAATGCTCAAACTCGCATTGTGACATTTATAACTCGGCTTATATTTCTCCAACAGAAAATTCATCCGCAGTAGAATTTTATTGTGCTCTTACCGTTTATAATAACATCCAAACACAGAAACCTTGCCTAAAATGGAACCTAAGTTGACAAATTATTTACTGTGGCCTATATTACGGACCGTGGCCCACTGGTTTGGTAACATTATTAACACGACATTTTGGCTGTAAAAATGGCACAATGAGTAAATAGCTACTGTCGTGACGGAAAAGTCATATTTCTTTCAAACTAGATCACATCATACTTTATAAGATACGTTGATTCACAATGTACGCATCAATATTTACGTAGGCCTAACAGCCAATTTACATTATTTTTTGCTTTTTGGAAATGCTACATTACTATGTAATTCGCATTTTTTTTTGCCAATGAAGCTGCACGACCATATAAATTAGGAGGCCAATAACAGTTCAAGAATTGATGTAATTCAAGACAACTTTATGTAATTAATAAGGCTGAGACAACTAACTGACATCCCCCATTTCTAGGAATTCCAGCTTTAACAGTAACCCCACAACCAATTTCTCAAAACTTCAAAATTTTAAAAAACGCAATTAATATTATTATTGTTTTTACGCTTATTAATCTTTAAACTAAATGCTAAAGCTAAATGTTCAAAATATGTATAATTTCACTCAATTTATCGCAGTTAGATGAATTAGCGTAAGCCTTGAAAGTTACCGTCGATTTCGACGGGTTTCACCTAGTATCTCTTTAAAATGCTATATATTATGTATATATTTATTCTCTATTCAAATAACATTAGTTTAAAAAGTACATAGGTTTGCTGATGCATGGAAGGTAATAAGGTGTTTTGTTTTTATAGTTAATTGTTTATAGTAGCCTATAGCAGAAAATTCCAGAGTTTTATCAAAATCTGTTTATAAACAAGCAAACTACAACAGTTTCCTCATTTTCCATAAAAAAAAACATGTGAATTTTAAATGTAGGGCCTACAGTTTTTTGGAATTTTCTCCGTAACCGTCAGGCATACAACAATGCTTCAATATACTAAATTATTTGTTTTTTCAACTCTACAAAACGGTTTGGAAAGAAATATCAAAACTTTTGTGTACTTGGGGTCAAAAAAGAGAAAACCCATTTTTTTCACATATAAACCCCTGTTTACATAGTCCAATCATGCTGGTTCACAAACCCATTTGAATAAACGTAAGCTTTCATATTTATATACCAAATTTCATCAAAATCGGATTATTTTTGCTTGAGTTATCGTGCTAACCAACATATAAATAGTGTATGAATCACGTATAAACAGATCAAATCAAATAAAATCATGTAGAAAATAACCACTTTGTACTATACATGTCAATCTCAACTTGTTGTATTATTGATCTTACTATGCTATAGAGTGGCAACACTGTAAAATAAGAATAACTTTGGTGTCATGTTTTTTTTCGTTAATCTAGAGTCATGTAACTTCTTCACGATGTCTGTTGTAGGTCTACAAGATTAAAATGTAGTTTCATTAATAAAGTGAATATTATAATAATCGTCAGCTTTATTTAGCAACCAAACAGATAGTTTTTCTTTACAAATCATTGAAATCAATCATATATATAATCATATATAATATGTATTTGAATCGAAACGGATGGTGTTTTAGGCCTCTGGGGACCTCAAAACAAGAAAGTCAATCAGTCCCAGGTCCAGGTCTTAGCATGAGACCTACGGTAATAGCTTATTCTCTATATGGGAAATTCGCTAAAAGTGAATTTTAATCCACATAAATGTGTTTGATATCCACTTAAACATAATACCTTATTTTTAACTTTACGGTTGCATTTAATTAAACACACTACTATGATTACTTTCAAAATACATAATTAACATTACAAATGTCAGGCCATTTCTGATGCTTTATTGGGAAACATCGAGTAGATATCTCATGTACATAGGTACCTGTACATTCAATAAAAATAGACTATTTTAAATACTTAATACAAAAACTATTTCTTCAATTAAAAAAGAAATAAAAGTAGGTCTACTTCCTTTATTGAAACAAAGCAAAATTTACAAAATGACAAAAAGTTTTTTGTCAAGTTTTATGTTAACCTCCTGTCGAGTAAGACTGTCAGGATTTTCATCACTGTCACAAACTCACACTAAAATATCACAAAATAGCCTTACTTGGCTTTTGATGTGTAAATGTAGAGTGGGAAGTAGTCCATGACTGCAATGTACACAAACTTGTTGGCTTTTGCGATGACAGAAGTGATTGCATCTCCATCAGACGTACGACCATCCGGACAGAACTGAGGGGGAGAGCTCTGTAGTACAACAAACAAAATAAAGTGAAACGCAGGGAATAAATTAATCTACGACAAAAATAAAAAAATATCTACAATGGCAAATTGTTTTTAGTACAATTTGAGACAAGTTTTGGTCATAGTTAGTTAAAAGAGGTTATAGTCAGAGTTCCTGTAGAAGATAATCTGTCCATGAATATAATGTTGATTTATTTTTATTATTATTTTTTTCTTCAATGAGGAAAGTTTATGATTATTTAGAAACACAATGAGTATTTTATAAGTACACTTATAGTAAGAGGGAATTGTTACTACTTAAAGATACTCACAGAAAGGTAGATAAGACCATTGCTTGACAAGTTCATGGGAGAATCTTTGTTGTAGACAGTAGAGAGAGATTTCGGCCATTTTGCTGGAACTTGAGCACCATCCGCTCCCATCATCCAGTAGACCTGAGGACCAACAATAATCACTTTGCTTATAAAAAAATACTTCTCTTATGACATCCACTTTTATATGATTTGTTTTGTAATTTTTATATACAGCAGTTTAGCATGTCTGCGAAGAGTAAGATTAATTTTGAACTAATTATTGTTGTTAGTGTAGATAAAGTACACTTATTTAGCTTAAATAGGTAAAAGTTTTAAGGAATCCAAGTATACCAGTACATCAAAAGTATACAAACATCAACCAAAGAGCTATTTCTGGTAAATATTCATCTTAGAACCATTTGACCTAGATGAGTTCAAATAGTTTTCCCTAGGTAGTCTCTGTTAATTATTTAAATTATAACCAAGAAATATTATTCATAGAGCCAAAAAATATTATTTATAGAAACATTGGTCCTATCGTTAAAAAGCCAAATATAGCTATCTCTAGCCCAAGTTAACACTGCTTCATCTGAATTGTAAAGTAGAGGTTACCCACTGGTAAAGCACGTAAAGATCCATCATTCAATGTATTGTCTGAGTTTTACACTCATATTCACATGAGTGCTCGGGACCTGTGCCTATTTGGGTTTTCTAGTGTACTGACAATATATTACAAATTAAAAACCTATCCACATCAGTCAATCGGTGTGAAACCAGTACAGAACACACTCCTTATAGCAGAGCTGCATGTTGAATCAGATTTTCAAGTCCTGTTTCTCCTAATGCATAGATGCTCATGTCTAGAATTAGAAAACAACTTATTCTCTCGCTATTCCCTTAACTAACATGTAGTCAACAAAGTTCTCAACTCACATCAAACAGTTTGCCGACGTCGTCCGCAATACAAGGGCAGTCAGAGATGTATATTCCCATCTCCTTGACCTCAGTGAGGGATCGCCAATCGGTGTTAGCGCTGCCGATGTAAGCGTGTTGTCTGTCTACCAGCCATAACTTGGTGTGAAGGATCCCACTGCCGACCAGCCTGGGGAAGTTCAGACTTCGGACCTAACACAGATTTTAAAAATTTAACATTTTACTGTGGCAAACATAGCACAGAGGAACTTGAATAATTAAAACACCAAGGGAATGTAAAAGAATTGAAGTTAGTTTGTTAATAAAGGCTTTGAAAATTGAAGTCTCTCACTTTTGTTCACACAACTGATTTGAAACGTGTTTATTCAGTAAATGAAAGGCCTTATTGTATTATCTTTGTAAATCATTTCTTGATCAGTATTGTACGTGTTCTTTGATTTACTTTTAGTATTTTTTTTACGTTTTTACCAAACAAGTGGGTGTGATGTTGTGGATATGGTTAGTGTCTCTGACTTAAATGTGGGAGCGACTAGTTTGATTCCTGACATATAAAAATATTTTGAAGGATTTGAACCGCTTTCCCTTAAAAGAATTTAACTTTCTTTCATACAAAATACTGCTGGTGTAGACACTAGAAAAAAAACCTAGTTAAAGATGTGTAAGTTTGTTTGGCTTTGGTCGCAACATTGTTGATTGATTTTACAATCATAAACCATGACTAACAATCTGTTAAAAACCAACTCTAGCAACTTTTCCCAAACTAATTACACAACACTATTTTCATAGCACACATAAAGGTTGAACAAATTTAGATTTTCTAATTTTGATTCAAATCTTTTAATTGAGCACTTTTTTATTTTTTTTTTTTTGTACCAGTCTCTAATCAAGGGTAGTATTTTTATATTATTTCAGGCTAGGACTAAAGGTTGCGGTATTATCAATTAGATAAAATCCATCAGTGATTGGCGGGATTTGAATCAGAGGCCTCAGGGACCAAAGTCCCATTCTCCCGAATACAACAGTGTAGGTAGTCAATTAGAAAGTACCTAGACCAGACAGATAATCTTGACTACCCAGCTAAGACTTACTGGAAAATTAAAGTCAGGTGAACTACATACATAGCCTCCTCTAATACAAGTCTGCGGCGTTGGTTTGTGGCAATGCTGCATCGACATGCCTATTACCACTGTAATAACAGGAATAACAATAAACATTGTACAGATGCTCCATTACAAAAATAGTGCACAGCTGTTCCAGTATGCCGAGTCAGCAGCATTGCCACTTTCGTCCTTCCGCAGCCTTGTGATAGAGGAGGCTATGATAAAATACTATCTGATACTACTTTTTACAACAATGGTGTAAATAGCTAACTAACTTTCCATGGCTCAAAATGGTTGGTTCTTATTTTGATTATTTTCTCTTACCTCTGCAGCTTTCTTCTTCACTAAAACTTCAGTTTCTGTATTCGGTTCACTTTTTGAAGGAAAGTTTTGAGCAATTTTAACTTTAAGTTTTCTTTCAGTTCCGGCAAGAAGTAGTTCATCAAAGATTTTCTGACCCTAAAACACAAGATAACTACTAAATGTTTTCATTCAAGGAAAGTCTCTAGGCCAGGATCTTGAACTTAATACAGAAGACGCACAGAAAACACAATATATCGTCCTTGGGGGGCTTTGTCAAGTCTAGAGAAAGAAGAGTACTGAAAGTGAAAATGTCTGAGCTCTATTTTACTTTGTCTACAATTAATTGACAAAGTAGGGGACGAAATATTATGTCTTCCGTATGTTCTATGTACTTCTTCAAGGTAAGCTTCCTGCTACCATCTTTATTCATTATTTTCATAATACAAAAATGATACTGTATTAGGAAATGAGGTAAATGAATGGATGATAAAATAAATTAAGGATATCCAATAAAATCCTAAACATATACATTCTACTTTTTCCATTAATTATTATTTAAACAGTCATAGTCAATGTAATATTTTTACTTTTTAATTTTTTTTTGCGGCTTCTTGTGCATAGCTCTTACCTCTCCAGCAGTAGGGAATTGCCCCCTGGTTCCGTTGGTCAGAGTCCAGTAGTACGAGGCAATCTCTACAGTAGATGTAGCCTTGGCTAGAAGATCAGACCACACAGAGAATGTGGAGGGGAAGGGGGTGGAACCGTTCCGATAGCTCATACCATCGGGAATGGACTCTACGAGGGAGAACCTAGGCAAGAATTGAAATCAAGATACATTAAACAACCTGGGGATCAGATCCTTTGCTGAACAATTAGAAATTATACTGTATCCTATCTATATAAATAAAATTAGAGTTTTGTCTGTACTTTGCTCAGAATTATATACTTTTAGGTTATTTTTACGTTTTATACATTAAAGAAGCAGAAACGAGTCTTATCTCTATTTCTGTCTGTCTGTCTGTCTGTCTGTCTGTCTGTCTGTCTGTCTGTCTTTCCCTTTGTCTGTAACACTCAAGATGGCATTTTACGCAATCTTCTCCGTGAAAACCAGAGTACCTATCAAGATCCAAGTCATTTTAATGTATTCACTGGATTGGCGAGAGTGTCTTTAGTGATTTAAATATAGCCTCACTACTTTGTAAATAAAATTACGGACGTTAAAAAATGCAGTTTTGTGCGATTTTTGTCAAATTTTCGTTCAATTTTTATCACATAACATATTTGTCTATGAAATAACGAACAGCTGTTCGGATCAAGATTATTTTTTCTAGCTGTCAATGATATGTTTACTAATGTTGTTTACAAATACCGCAACCATTTCGAATCACGTTTTGAAAGCAAATCCCAACCAAGTGAGATTAAAAACGTTTTTCTTACATAACGGATTTAATTAATCGCAAGTGCAATAATATAGTCTAATAGTGTAACCGTAAATGAAATTAAATAACTAGACATCGTCCAAATTGGAACCAGAAATTCGTTGAGTATAAAATGTTTCTTGAGTTTTGACAACCAGAAAGAAGACCTTGAATCAGTGTTGTATAGGGCTGGACACTGAAATGATCGTCACCAATAGCTTACAAAAAAGGTACCTACCTACTTAAGAAATATAATTACAAATGACCAAAACCCCAACATTGTGTGATTTTCGTCACATTTCCTTATCATTGTTTAGAGAATGCGTAATCTATTAAATAACAAAAAGTTGTTTGAGTAAGGTTGTTTTTTTTTTTTTCAAACTGACACCGATAAGTTTACGCTATAACTTTTTATGAGAAAATCCAAAAGCAAGAGATCAATAACCTCGGGACTAGATATTAATGTATTTAATTGGTCGGATGTACTATAGTTCTTAGGTAGGTTCTTACGTAGGTACTGGTTCTTTTCCTTAGAACCGTTGGTAGCTGCTAGAATCATTTTTACGTAGGTACCAACACATCACTGTAGTTTTCAAATTAGTTATCGTTGGTGTTGCACCTTATTTATTAGAGCCGTCCGTATTCAATTTAAGTGATGTCTTAACTCTGTATAAGTTTTGCTTTTTCTGTCTGGATTCCAAATCTTAGCTTACCCGGTATGCTAAGAAAATGATAACCTATTTGAGTAAATTATTTGTTGGGCAAACCATCATGAATTGTTTACGCCTTTATATTGTTTATGTATCAATAGTTCGTGGCCTTTTTTGGATTGTTGTGTGTATGTCTGTTGGTAACGTATTAATGTCCTTATTTCTCAGTGTTTCACGGAATGGACAAGAGCACCTTTGATACTGAAAATGTCAACCGGAATAAAGTGTTAAATGGTGAGGTTGAGGTAGTACTTTAAATACGTTTAAGTTAACCGATATGGAAAGTAACTTTCAATTATAGGCCTACTTTAGGGCTACGCTTCATGGATCTATAAAACATTTTTTTAGTTTAATCATTGGACATATGGAACATAACGATCCGGGTGACATTTAATTGCGAAGCATTTATTTTGGCTTGAACTGTCAGATACTGTATTTGCGAAGGTTTATATATAATAGTTTTGCCAGCATATCTGCAAATATGAAACTAACTGCTGTTCTTAATCTTAATATAAGAAGGTTTCAACTGACTACTATAAGATCCCCGTGCGTAGAACGGGCACACAGCTAGTATATTAATAGGCAAGCATGTTTCTTCAGAATATGTTTCAAGCCAAAAAGACTCCTATGAAGAAACTCTAATTGTGTGGCTAGGAAAATTCTCCTAAAGCTGGGTTTCCTTGGCGAGGAAGCGTAACATGGAGAGCGGAAATTGGAGAAGCAATTTTCTGCTAGTCCAGTGGCGGTCCGCCATGCTTCTAGGAAACCAGTATCATTAAATTACCTAAGACAAGAGAAGAGTGGACTCCCCGCACCTAGAAAAACACAGCTTAAGGCTAACTACCGATTTAAATGTTTACTTCTAGAACGTTTCCCTCAACTTACTTGCATTGAGCTTGGCATTTCCGAAGTTGCTCCCAGTCTATCTGTGCGGCGGCCTGTGCTTGTCTCTCTGCATTTTCCAACAGTGGAAGCAGGACTACCAACACGATCAGCACCAGGATGATGGATATCGGCACACAAGATGGCTTAAACCACCCTTTCTGACCCCAGCTAAACAAAACATGAAGAGTGTAACCAAGACAATCATGAAGGGAGAGATAGGATGACAATGAGAAGGAAGAAATCCTATATTTAACTCTAAAAAAGAAGTAAATAGTATTTTAATTCCTAAACTTTATTTCATTTTTTTTTTATTTTGACCGTTTAAGTGGATACGCCTCCTCCAATGGTCAATTAAAGGTTTTGATCAATTTTGAATAATTTTCTTTTTGAATTTTAAAGTAATGTAAATGTTCTTAAAAATTTACTGGTGAAATTTCCAATGATTATGAAAATAATTTCCTATTTTTGTTTTTGTAGTATGCTGGCGCAAATCAGAATATTTTAATTTTTCACAAAATCTCTTTCATAATGGCCGTTACTTTCATCACTTTTTATTGGTTTATTTTCTAAGCTACAAACTAACTAGCAATACGTCTTCTAAGCTTTATAATTTATACATTTTAGGATATAAAAGTTTTTAAAAGAAAATGTTTAATTTTTAACTTTTAAAAGATTTGAAAAATTATAATTTTAGTTACATAATAGCTAGAATATTTTCCATAGTTGAAAAACTTTATTAATATATGTAGAATGAGTCTTTAAAATTTAGGCAAACTAGTTAAAAACAAAAAAGTATATACAAAATCTTCAAGAAGCTGTTAATATTGGAATTAATACTAATTTGAAATAACAACTTCGCCAATATTTCTGAATTTTTAATTTTTATGAGGCCTTTCGCCAGCTATGCTGGCATCATCAGACACATCACAAAACTGAAGGTTATTAAAAGAAAACACTATGCGTGTTTATAATAATTTATCACTACCCAATTGGTTGAATGTGTTTACAAAATTTATTATTGGTAGTGCTTGTAATTTGGACTAATAAAATTTGGTTCAGGTTTGTACCTTTACTTACTGCTAAGTTAAGCCTAGATTAAATATAACTTACTTATAGAAAGACAAATGATGAAGCTGAAGGATTTCTTTACAATACAAATTTAATGAACTAAGAATAGCATATTACAATGAATGGGGTTTGGTATTTAAATGAACAAATACAGGGTCGCCATCTTTGGTTTAGCCTAGCTCATTAAAACAGAACAATGAGTTTACAATACTTCTAAGATATGAGTTTAATTACATAAATCTTCTCAGGGGAACTTGGCTGGCTAAAAAGATCTTCAAATATTTGAATTTATAAAATAAAATATGTCAATTATTATGAAAAATGGGATAATTTTGACATTGCCCTTAGGCTTGGATAGGTAAGTTAAATATTCCAACAATGAATAGAATGTGAAAAATTTATCAAAGTTGAATTTCGTTCTCTTGTTCAAATTGTTCTTCTGGAAATATTCTTGATGAAAATAAAATAGTTTTTGAATTCAAATAATTAGGTTCGATCAGAAAGTAAATAAAATAGGTCTGTATTAGTTAAATTTCTTGAAGTTAGGATAAGCCTTATACAAAATGGAGAGTTCTCACCAGATCTTCAGTAATAGTGTCCAATTTATATAAATCTTGAGGTGGCAGTACAAATTTGAAATGAAAAAAAATATATGTATAAAAGCTAAACTGTTCTTCTGTTGTTAAGTTGATGTTAAGTTAAATAATTTTAATCACTTTGACTTTAAATGTTAGGGATTATACCCTCACTGAATTTAAGGTGTTTAAGCAGCCATGTCTCAATAGAGAAGGAGGAAAATTTTAATTTTACACAGGATGTTGATCAGTTCATTGTTGAAGCCAGCTGTCTTCTTTCTTCATCACTTGCACATGTACTAATAATCAGGCTTTTGGATATTAATTCAATGTTGGGGTTTTAGAAATAATTTATACTATTAATAATTTTGGATAAAAGTGTCATTGCAACTATGGACTTAATTACAGGTTACAGGATTTTATTAATATAATTGTTGAATTAAACAATATATTTTAAAATGTGATGATGGTTTCTGAGGGGTGATTAAAGGATAATATAATTCAAATTTACTATAAATTTTCTGATAATTTATTTAAATAGGCTATATGGCGAATTTTGGTACAATAAAAGGAGTAAATTATATAACTAAAATGATGAATGAAGTGAATGGGCTATATATGACATGTAACATTGCAATTTAAAATTTATAATTGTATTTTTAAACATAAACATAACCTTCAGTTTTGTGAAGTGTCTGATGATGCCAGCATAGCTGGCGAAAGGCCTCATAAAAATTAAAAATTCAGAAATATTGGTGAAGTTGTTATTTCAAATTAGTATACACAAAATGTTTAAAAAAACCTAAAAACAACTTTAAAAGAGATTAAAAATAATTAACTTTTACCAACACCAAGGGTAGGAAATTTTTTATATTATTTTCCTTGTATTTCATTAAAACAAAGTTAACAAAATACTATTTATAGTATAAATTTTAAAAATAGAAAAAATGTTACGGAGGCGTATCCTCAAATTGAAACATACAGTAGAATCAAAGGGTGGTCTTAGCCAAGGGTCTAGAATAATACACCATGCAAACTAAAATATACAGTACCGTAGGTTTGTTTATAAAATATTCATCAATGTGCAATAGTTGATTTATTTTTACTTATTTATTAACTTGGTACAGGATATAAAAAAAATAATTTTCCAATATATAAAAAAGGCTTTTCCACAGAATTTCTTATAACACTAATATCTTTCTCATCCTTATTATAAGTTAGTGTGAATCAATCATGATTTCATATTTCATGACAAAACAATTAACCATTTACTGTCATGTCTAGATGAGTAACGTGTAAATTTTTAATTTTTTTTTAACTTAGTAACTAGGCCTTTCTAGACTTGCAAAATAGTAATTAGCAAAAACACTCAGTGGTAGAACAAATGTTGTATCATAGACAAAAAGAATGAAATATACCTTCGACATAAATTACAATTTAAATGTAATTTTGACTACAGATAGGGCTAGACGTATAAAATTCTTGTGTTAAATAAATTGCAGTAATCTAAAAACTGGAAGAAATAACTTAGGTATTCCTTAAGAACAGTCAACAAATTGTTTTTTACTATATCTAACTCCATTAATAAAAGGAGGAAACTATTTAAATAATATACTGTTAGGGTGCCCTATGTTAGAGGTGCCATAATGCTAAAATACTTATACTGTAGTTATGTAAATACTTTGTACTTACACCATTTTTTAATCAAACGTTTCACTTTTTGTTCAAGAAATGTAAAGTTTTTAAAGTAAAAAAAACAAAAACAAAGCTTGTAGAGCAGTTTGGTTTACTAGACTGAACATCATTCAAAGATTGAATTCAATGTCAATAATTATCATTTATCTATGTATCGGGATTGAGTATTATTTAATCTATTAAGTGGCCTTTCTTGTTTAGATAAACATTTTAAATTGTATTTTAGAATTTGACCTCAAATCTACAAAAGGTAATAATTTGTGAAAAGTATTTTGACTTAACAAAATCCAAAACAAGCACAAAATAAAACCAAAGTGATAAAATTAAAATATATATTTAACATGTAGGCCTATACAATTTACTATTAGAAAAGCTAGTTTGAAAGTAAATCAAGCATAATAAAGTAGGGTACTTGAACATTACAGTTTATCAGTGAATTGTCAAGTACCAGAAACACTTATGATATCAACAACAATATATATAAATTAAAAAATGATACGTTTGTAAACAGAAGTTCTCGTAAACAAATTTAAAGAGTTTCAAAAGAGCTTCCTTATGATAATTTATGCATAGAATAATTGTTTTTTATCACACAGTAATAGCAAATAATCCCACAGAAACTTTAAAATCTTGTCATGTTATGGGCCATTTATAACAAAAATCTTTTTGCAATGACACCACCATAGTAGCATTTTCTATAAAGTTCTTCCATGACTTCAGACAATGATAACACTGAAGGCTATCTAGGTCTAAGGAAATAAGATATTTATTTTATAAATAACTGTAATACATCAATCCATGCAATAGGCTCAAGTCGAGTCACATTTACATCAGAGTTTTACAATATATCAAGGTGCCTAGTTACTTTTGTGTATTTACTTAAGTTAGGGATGTGTGCAAGACTAAACCGCTGAAAATTGGGTCGCGGCTACACAGTGAGGAACAGTTGCAAACGTCATGATTATTCCTCACAATCGTAGCCACCCACGTCCAGGGCCGGTTCTAGGAATTTTTCAGAGTTAAGCGAACACCCGAATCAGCGCCACTTAGAATCCCCCCACCACCCCACCCTCAACCCATGAACTTACTTAACTCTATTTGTGAATTTTTTCCCAAAGATTTTGGGAAGAACTTTTTTATAAGTTTAGGTTAGAAGAATACTTGCAATAAAAGACTGTTTATCATTCCCAGGAATTTAACATTTTTACACTTTTACTCATCGTATAAACTTTAGCAAAACCAAGGCTACACTTAATAAAACAGGCCGTAATGCTCGTCAAGCATGACGTCACGATAGAAGACGGCAATGACGTAATGTTTGCCGTTTGTGATCAGCTGCTTGTTTTAATCTTTCCTTGGAAAATAAATAAATAAATACCTACGTCATTGCCATCTTCTATCGTGACGTCATGCTTGACGAGCATCACGGCCTAAGTTAACAATTTATTTCTAAATGTGAAAACAATTTTTACTCCACACTACACTATTTTGACGAACTTTCCCACACAAGGATTTAGTCCAGAAAACAGCTGTTTGCCGCCAGCTTAATCAAATGGGGTTTCATTGCGTACTACTGTACTGTAATGAGTTTTACCGGACACCAATCAGCTGATTACACTGTATTCGGGTGACAATGAGTGGTTATGAACAAAAACATAACCTCTCTTAAAGGTTATGACTAGTGATTTTTAGTCCTTTAGTTGGTGGTAATATGTAAGGATTTGTACAGATTTAGTAGTATGGCGTAAACTATCGTACGTAACTTGTCCAAAATGTGTTAACCGGACTCGTATGGTAATCCCGTACTCGACCATCTCGCACGGGAACGACCACACTCGTCCGGTAAACACTTATTTTCAGGACTAGTAACGTAATATACTATTACAGGATAACTTGGATACGATATAAGTTAAAGCCTATTACAATGAAAAACAGGTGTAGATAGATGACAAGAGAGGAATTTTTAATTGAACACATTAAACATGAAGAAAACATGAAAAACCAAATTTATTACCTTGACAAAAAGAATACAAAATTATCAATTTGAACAGTTCAAAAGCTCTTAGCAATTAAAAATTAATTTTCCTAGCTTTGATCTTGACAAATTCTTTAATTGCAGAGTTGGTATCAATCTGGTTCAGAACATCAGAATGTGGTTCAGAACATGAGTCATGAAATGAAACCCACAGGCGCTGCGCTGTAGTATGCTGCCGACTGCCGACTGCCGAGCGTCAGCTCACTACAAATCGAAACTACAAATGGCATTAAGTCCTTGAGTTGTAGTGCTGTACAAATTTACGCATTTTTCATATGCTGTTGGTACAAACAGAATAAATGCCTTTATTGTGGTGCTTTGAATACTTGAACTCTGAGTGAAAATAAACAAAATTACGTTGTTCACTAAAAAAAAAAATTGTTCCGTTGGCGCCACGGCGCCAATTTTTCGTGGCGCCATATGCAGCCGCTTAGTTTGCGTATGGGTTAAACCGGCCCTGCCCACGTCTGTCATCTTGGAATCACAGAAATATGAGAGGTGCATGACTCTAAATCATCATTAGAAAATAGTCATCTTTTTTTTCGATTGCAAACCTTGACCTGCGATCCATATAACATTTTGGAAAAGAAAATATCAAATTTCACAAATAACTAAAATAACTGAGTCAAACTCTATTGTATGCCTAAGCCTTGCGTACTTACACTTCACTATGTTTGTCTCCAAAATCATCAAAGTCTGTTCGCATCATATACCTGGATTCCCAGTCATCATAGTCATCCGATGGCAAAGAACTGCCACGGTCCAAAATTTGCTACAAAAAAACATGTTTTAATTAACAAAGTAATGCAAAGTATACACAGAACTTTGATTTAACTCCACCAGTTAAATCAATAATCATATTTTTTTACAATATTAATCAGACTTATTTACAGTTGAGCATTAAATAATTCTGCAAGTAATTTAAGCTTGAACGTGACTTGACTATGTGTGAATTAAATTCATCAAAACAAACAAAAATATTTACTATAATTTCAAAAGTCCTTTATTTTGTCGGTACACCATATAACTTCCTTAATTCTTCACCAATTTCGATTAATGAGGTGTCATTTTAAAGCTCCTTTTACCCACTACATCAAGGAAGTATACAAATCACTTATTTTCTAATAGTTTTTTTTTTTTGTAAAAACGAACTGTTATATCTTATATCATTCTGCAAGTAATGAACTTGAAATGTTTATTTGCGTTATTCTATCAGCTGAGACATGTGAATAAAATTAATCAAAACAAACAAGTATTTACTTCTCAAAACCGATTTGTTTGTGTTTACTTTATCCATGTCGACCAACATAATTTGCTTTCTATGATAAATAACCCTGGAGATGAAATCAGATTATTCACTTAAAAGAAGTCTAAACAAGAACAACTCAAGAGTAAGTAGCCTACCACGTGGATTCTTTAACTTTTATATTTCTTTATTACCACAAAGCCTTCATTTTGACATACCTACCAACCATTCTATTTATATTGAAGAAGTCCATTTTCAAACATCACCTCTTATCTTTTCTTTATTACAGGTATTCAATCAATGGTTATGTCGTGTCGGATATGTGACCGACAGGAAACGGTTTGAATCAGTTTTTTTTTTACCAAGGTATGTAGAATGCTCTGTTGTATCCATTAGAGTTTTTAAGCTCATTAAGCCCTTTAGGTTTGTTACGTCATGCTAAAAAGAACTCTATTTTCTAGTTGATGAGAAACCTAAGCAGGGTCCAAGATTGGTTGAAGCTCTTTTGGGCACTTACACTATCAAAGCGAAGCTGGCTGACTTTGGTTAAACTGTAATACTACGCAGTTATCCGTAATCCTTTCAAACTTACTAAAAAGGAATTTCCCTTAAAAGTATTTGCCATGACTTTAAATAAGGCACAAGGGATGGTCAGGCGCTAAAAAAGGAAGGATTAAGGATTGTACCTGCCGGAAATTTGCTAAAAGGAAGATAAAATGCAGATTTAGAGTGCATTCCCTGGAACATCGTTATTATCACTCCCTGACAACATTGTTTAGAGATGTTTTCAAACTGCAATTGTTTGTAGAATTGTTAAATGAGCATTTCTTTTATAAGCTATGTGACATTGAAGACAATGTTGTGTAAAACAAACAAGAATTCAGATTCCTATATTGCCATAAAATATGCTTAAGTTTATAATCCTTTATGGTTATAACATTTTGTAGAAATACAGGCATGTTTATTTTTTCAATATCTGTATCAAACAGTATATTTTCCATAATTTATTAATTTACTGTCAGACAAAAAATGAACAGAATAAGCTGACAGTAAAATAGAGCAGGATCTGGGTGTGTGAGTTAGCGACTTGTCGCCTATTTTGGCTGATGTCATGAAATAACAAGGGGAGCTTATTTATCGTCCGATCTAAAAAAAATCCTGTTTTATGCCACAAGTGGTCGTGGTTCGCTTAGTGTGGCTGGCGGCATTCATTTAATTTTATAGGCCCTACTACCCACTTTAATTTTTGGCACCGTGAGATGGGGTTACTTTGTTAAAAAATTACTTTACTTAAAAAATTAATAACTTCAAAACTATAGGCCTACATACAAAAGATTCAATTCTCGCACCATATTATGTGGATGGATGTTATCTATAACTTGTGCAAGTTAAAAAAATTGTGTCTTATAGAAAAAAAATATATATTTTTGTGACTGTTCAAAGTAGCCCCGTGGATGGGGCTTCTATGAACATAAACTTTAACATTGACTATATCTTAACCTTGACTTAATCTTGACTATACTTTAACCTCTTATATCTCTGGCACTGTTAAACCTAGGAGCTTCTTTGATACACCATAAAAAAGCTGGGGTTTCAATAAACAAATACCTACATAGGCCTACAAAAAATATTGAAAAATATTAAATATTAAAATTTTACTAAGTAAAAGCTTAAACAACTCACTGAAAAATTTGTGATTTACGACTCCATTAGTATAATTTTTTTCTAGTTTCCTTCCAGAGGCCTAGTTTTGGTTACCTACACTTATTCTTAATTAAGTTACGGTATTAATGAATATCTATTAGAGTGAAAAATCGTTATTTTTTAACTGCACTAAAGTGTCTTTAAAAACATCCCAAAAAAAGTCGTCAAAAGAGCATCCATACTTGACTAAAGACTTAAAAACGTCTAATATATTTACCATATTTACAGTTTTTTCTTTCTTTTTTTTTCTTTTACATGATAGCCTACTGTACCCAGTAGCTGAGGTCAGCATGAATATACACCTGATCCTTGTGAAGATATTATTAAGACGGTTCGGAGAGAACTTGTACCATATAACTGTATGCTATGTTGTCAAAATCTTCCTGAGAGGGCCAGATGAACTTATTATTTCCCTGGTTCCTTAGGAATTTTACCTCAGCTCCCTTCTCATATGAACTGATGATTTGCCCTATGAAATAATGATACTTGTAAATCTCTTTTTTAGATGCATATTTCACCACTACCCATGAGCCAGATGGTGGCGGATCGGAACCTTGCACTGTACCAAACATTTTTTGGTGTTTTTATTTTTTTTTAAGAGACATTAATATCAACCCAATTAACTAAGGTATTATAAAAAATACCCAAGTTGAAAGGCCCAATCTTTTGTAATGTTTTGGGCAGCACTTTACTTTAGGTCCTACAGTCATTCGAATGAAAATATCTATCGATATATCGATTAATCGATTGTTTCATTCGATATATCGTTTGGTTAGATAGGTAAGGTTAACCTAACTTAACTAACCAAACGATATATCGAATGAAACAATCGAACAAATTCGAACATTCGAATGAGTGTAGGACCTAAAGTAAAGTGCAGGCAGCCTTTTTTAATTTTTTAAAACAATATTGCACTAAAACTGTATGATATATGTATATAATATTCTTCTTCTTGAATATTAAATAGCCTAAACCAAGGAATTAGAAAATGTTTATTAGATACAGGATATGACAATAATACATAGCCTATTTAATGTGTGGCACACAGTCAAAACATTTGTTTACTTCTCGTTCATAGTAGCCCCATCTGACGGTAGCTTCGATCAAGTAACTAACGCCCAAGTTAGCTTAAAACTGAAAGTATTATAATATGATCCAACTAAATTATCTGAAATAACTTAAGAGTAGTCATAGAATGAAGCATCTGAAAATTAGGGGCCTAACTTACGTTTAGTTCAATATTTTTTATAAACTAGATGGAGTTACCTATAAGTGATAGCCTTAAATGTTGAGCTAAAAGAGCTCACATAAAATAAAAATAACGGTGTTAAGTAAGTTAACCAGGTCAATAAGCGTATTTACGACAAGTTAGAAATTTTTTTGGCACTTGTACATATGTTAAGTCCTTTGGTCGCGATGATATTATTTTCCATCATGTTAACTTAACTTAGGCTATGTGTGATAATTTAAAAGTGTAAATTTCAGGTTTAATTTAAGACAGAAATTTCGACAAAGTATAGTTGTATTTTATATAATGGACTAGCTCTTCACTGCAACTGGGCTATGCTAATATCGATTGAAATTATTGATTTGATTAGTAAACTTTCATGCGATTTTTTCACCATCAGCAAGTTTGGTTGGTTAGGTTAGGTTATGATAGTTTAATTTGATAATAGATATATTTTAAAATATTGATTATTAATCAATATTTTCAATTCGATAGTTCCAATCGATATTAGCATAGCCCATTTAAGAAACTGTATCCCCTTCTCTGAAGGGGTAGGTTTATAAAAATAGTTGTATTAAGTTATAGATAGGAGAAATATAAACACTTACTTTTGTCTTTTTTTCAGGATAAACATTGATAATTGTCATAGTTGGTTGCTTACTCGGATCAAACTACCTAGACGCGTGTTGTAGAAATCTAACGCAATTGGAATCTTGCTAACGAAGTTAAATAGTTAAGTGCTTAACAATGACATTCTTGCGTGACTTTAGTGGACGACAGATAAAAAAGTAAGGTTATATTGTTGATGTTTTGTAACAAAGTGACATTGCCTGAAAGGAAACTTGAGCTAACCAGCTGGAACACTGAGACTGGACTGGACTGGGACTGGAGCTGACTCGCTGGCTGACTGAACTTTTTCCCGATAGGCAGTGACGCCAACCAGAACCAAATTGTTTTCAACTCTAAGCTCCTTGCTATCATATAGTCTACAATTGGGCCTTTGATTACAGAAAACTAATTGTAGTTTCTACAGATAATGATTGCGCATAACTCTAAACTAAAGTATATTATAATGAATCTAGGAAAAATTCGATGTATGATTTAACTCTATACAAGGCAGTCTCTATTTCAGATTATCTAGCATTAGACTTATTCTATGCTGACGCTTCGGAATGCGTATATTTTAACGTGGGGAAGAGTAAAGGATAAATTTGAATGAGATGAGATTATACATAGCCACCTCTATAGCTTTGTTACTAAGTAGGCTACTAACTATATTTCGGCAAAAGTTTCTGTGCTCACGACCAAATCCGGTCGGGTCTTGGCGAGGGGGTTGGCGGGAGTACTTTTGTGAAAACATTTGTGTCTTGCTACTCACTCACCCCTACCCACAACACTGCCAATAACCGGTACCCGTATGTTTTAGTTCGTCTACTGTAGTACACGGCCACATTTAACTCCAGGCCGTGGCCTGGTAGAATTGGCAACGTTACAAGTAGTGTTGTTTAGCGCCAGACGTCCCTTAAGATAACATGGCAGGCAAGGTGACACCAGCTCATTAATTCGCGTATTATGCATTAATTTGTTTAAAGATTGAAAATAAAACATATAGAATTAAAAACCAAATCAATATAAATTGAAAATATATTTCGGTACATTTAAAATGGAGTCAATATTTTCATAGCCCAGTAACCAAGCTTTCGTTTTTTTTTTTTTTTTTTTTTTAAATACACAAATATCTTTAGCTGTCTTCAAACAAAACAGCTGTTACACAACTACTTGCAAAAGGTCGCGGCCTGGAGTTAAAGGGGGCCGTGACTTGTTAGTGACCCGTCCACGCGCACAGAAGTTTTGGCCGAACTAAGGTCAGGTGCTCAGGTGGCCAGCTGGTTAGTATTGTCATTCGTCAAGGTTCTAGCTAGGGAGTATTTTGTCTATGCTTCTAACTATTTTTCTTTATAACCCCCGAATAAAGGTCATAGAGCAATTCCGGTAAAGTACTTAATATTTTGTTATACGCGGAAGTTATCGTGTCGTGACTATTAACAAAGAGTCCACAAAGTTGTCAATAATATTCGATTCTTTGTTGAAAAAACTGTTTTGAAACTTTATAGAGTAAACTCTTCGTACAGATCATGCAATGTAGCCTTTGCGTGACAAGAGTACACAAAATGGAATCACATGATTCATCTTCATAAAAGGGCTTGAAAAGACTGTCCTTCATATTCACAATAGTTATCACAATCAATTTCACACTGATCTTCACAAACAGATTTTAGCACTTACGAAAAATCAATTGAGCAGAAAATGACAACAACATTTAAGTTACAGAGGAGTTTAGAAAACTAACACAACGTGTATAATAGCAAAAACAATTATTTTTATAAATTTAAAGTAGATCTAAGCTAATCAGTTTTTCTTTAAAAAAAACCTTTGTCATTGACAATTTTATGTCTTGACTTGTTCACACAACAAAACTAAATAATAACTAGCTGAAATAACTTCTTTTCACAATATTTGAAAATACTTAAAATATATTTGAAAATATTCTTCCTCTATGTGTTGTAGTAGGCCTAGTATCGTACCACCTACGATAAGAGGGAGGAATTTTCATCGACCGCTATAAGCATTTTAATCTAGTGCCAGAAGCACAATTTTTATTTCAGCTGCGGTTTTCAATCTGCAGCTTAGAAATTAGAGAATTCTATTGGCAGTTTTATGGCGTGACGTCACTCTCTTCTCTTGAGAGAACACCATTACCGCAACGAAACAAAGTGTTTCGTGTTTCCATCTGTATTCGTGGTGTAGTGGATAAAGTACTCGGCTGATTTCCACGAGGTAACCAGATCGGTTTCCACCGGTGACACGAAATTCTTTTCAAAGATTTAGCTTAGAATGCGATTACTTCTGAATGGTTCATCTTTTGTTAGAATTTGAGGCATTTATAATTTTATTTTATGAACATAGCTATGTTTTTGATTAGTAAACCTTCATTCAATTGTTTTCATTATCGGCAAGTTTGGTTAGTCAGGTTAGGCTACAACAGTTTAATTATTTTATAATTAAAAAAATATAAACTTATTTTTATAATTTTTGTTTTTTAAACGCTCATTTCGTCCGTATCGAAAAACCACAGCTGAAATAAAAATCGTGAAAAAGTAAAAAATCATCAAAATACGTTGCTTGGATTAGGTACACAGTACATGTTTTCCAGCTCTTTAAAGATAGCCTTTGGAATGTAAATATCTTCTCCAATAGCGTGTTGCGCACTGTTAAATCTCATCTCTCACGCACGAACGTGAAGTTTCTCAAACATTTGTGCACACGGAATGTCAACACCTTTTTTGTGTCACGCAGCTTGCAAATAACTTCGGAACATGGATATCATAGAAAACATATTGCTTACAGAAGAGAATAGACGATCAGACCGTTTTAATATGATTATTTAGATGTTCATTGAGAATAAGACAGTGACATAAAATGATGTTTACAGGTGGTTTGGTGATTGCAAAAACAGATAACATTTTACAGAATACACTTATGTTTGGGTAAATTCTTTTTCAACGTAGAAGAGCCTTCCCAGCAGCCAATCTTCAGGGGTTCCTTCTTAAAGCCGGGTTCTCCCAGACGCGGAAGAGGAGCGCGGAGAGCAAAGGGCGGAGATCTGAAAAGCAGTTAACATAGCGTTCCGCTTCGCTTCTAGGAAAACAGTAACATTACACTACCTAAGACAAGGGGAGTCCGCTCTCCTCGTTCCTCTCGCTGCGCTCCGCTTCCGCGCCTAGGAAACCCCAGCTTTGAGGTGGTTGAATTATTCACTTGATTAATAAGTTATTATGGAATGAGGCTGAAGTATGCAGCTCCTTTAGGGCGGGTTTCTTTCTGTAAGTGATAGATTATAGATTGGAAAGGTGAATTCTGATGCATTTCTAGTCTTGTGGTGGTGTAGGTTCCTGTACTGAATATAGTCAATGTTGTCTGATTTGTTGGGAGGCTATTGCATGTAGGAAGGGTTGACGGATATGGATGAATATTATACTCAGAGAATAAAGATTAGCTAAGTGATAGTGCCTACTCTTATTCTGTGGATATAGACGATACATTAACAAGAGCATGATTTTGAACATTCTCTTACATTTGGGGTTTGCAAACATGATCGAAAATGTTGTTATACACAATCAAAAAATAATAGGTATCAATAATTTTAAATAACATGAAAGTTTTAAAATAAGATAATATAAGTAGACATATTTACCTTGCATAATTATGAGGATTATTTAGCATTTGCAACAAAAGAAAGTGCTATACAACAACAGAATATGATCATGCTTTGATATTATGATAGCCCTACTTATAAAACCAATTTTGAGTAAAGCACTAATTTATAACGTATCTGTGAGGGTCGTCGTAGTAAACAGGTAGGGTCGAAGGTTATACAGTTTGCGTGATGTCATTGTTTCGTGACTGCGGGGTTGCATGATAAACAACTGTTGCTAGCCACCGCATTAGCTAGTGTTGCTGTTGTAGCTAATAGTTGAGGAGAATGCGGTGGTTATAATCGAAAATGTAGTGTCTAGGCATAGCCGTGGGTTTAGGCGAGGCCACACTAAAAAACCACTTTTTTAACGTGGCATTGGTTTAGGTCATACCGCAGAAAACATAAATTAGATCCGAGTCTACCGATCGAAGTATTGCATTGATTTGTGGTCCTGAAACCCCCCTAAAATTTGTTATTGTTTAGTTTGCAGACATAAAACATAGTAGATAGAGCAATTTAATAGATAAGGGCTCTAACAGCTGTAGCGCCCCCAATATTTTATTTGGTTAAATAAGTTAACTAGCTAAACATGGGCCTAGTTAACGTGTTGTCAATTATTACCATTTCTTCAGTCATTCTCATTTTTAAATTCACACCAGTATCTGGTGGCCAGCGTCGTCCAAAACTAATCTAATCTACAAATTTTCAGCTCAGAAATACAATTATATAACACAAATTATAAATATCCCCGCCACAACAAACCTGCCGACTAAGTGAATTTCAATTTGTCTGAATTGATTTTCAATTAAAACAATTTTCAATGAACTAACATTGGGTTTTTCATACTAAGCTATTACATTTTACAAAAAAAAAACGCCTTTTTACCCTCCCTGGTACTCGTTAAACTAATGTTATTTAAATAGGGAATACATGTGATATTTTTAAGGAGACATTTTAGTGTATATCCAATCAGGCAAATGGAAATTCGCTTAGTCTGCAGGTTTGCTGTGGCGGGGGTGTTTACTCCCTTTAAAAAGGTCTAGAGTAAAATTGGGAAATTTTGTGTTTTGTGGGTCAAAAATGAGAAAACCGAGTTTTTTACCCCATAAAACCCCGTTCCCATGGTCCGATCAAGCTGTTTGCGAACTCATTCAAGTTTATTTCACCTTACACCTTTGAACCAAATTTTGTCAAAATCGGACAAAAACTACTCAAGTTATCGCGTTCATGGACGTATATACTGTATATATATATATATATATATATATATATATTCAACCAGGACGTGATTGAGCGATGCGAACGAGATCATCTTGAAAATTAAACGTAACGGCACTTTCTTTCCATCGGTCTGTCTTAGGGGAAACCTATAACTTAGGCGATACGAAGTTCGCCGGGTCAGCTAGTATATATATATATATATATAATTTTAAATAACAATAAAAACGGTAAGTTTTTAGGTGACGTATATCCCCAATTCTAAATAACTCCCAAAACTCTTTATAGTCTTAAATAATTCGCCAAATTATTGACTTTTATTTTAGCTATGGATTACTTTCCGGGAGTTATTAGGGTTTGGGATATATGTCCTT